ATACTGTAGTCATGTCCCCTAAAGTGTGTTTCAGCCTTATGCTTGGTTCATACACGATGGCCTTTTCAGGTGCCACGGCCCACACTGTATGCATGCTGAGACTGACCTTCTGTGATGCAAACACCATCAACCACTACTTATGTGACATCCTCCCAGTGATGCAGCTCTCCTGCACCAGCACATATGTCAATGAATTGGTGGTTTTCATTGTGGTTGGCATCAACATCATTGTGCCCAGCCTCACCATCTTTCTCTCTTATGGTTTCATTCTCTCCAGCATCTTTCAAATAAACTCCACTGAGGGTAGGTCCAAAGCCTTCAGCACCTGCAGTTCTCACATAATTGCTGTTTCTCTGTTTTATGGATCAGGTGCAATAATGTATCTTAGGCCATCCTCTGCTGGATCACTGGATGAGGGAAAAATTTCTTCTGTGTTTTATACTAATGTAATTCCCATGTTGAATCCCTTAATCTATAGCTTGAGGAATAAGGACGTTAAGCTTGCCCTGAGAAAAACCTGTTAGAATATTTTGATCAAATATAGTGTGTTCAGGTCCAGCGTGGTGGCATAATAGGCAAAGCTTTCTCCTGTAACACTATTCCATATGAGTGCTGGTTCACATTTTGGATGCTCTGTTTCCAGTCCAACTCCATGTTAATGGCCTGGGAAAAGCAACAAATGATGGCCCAAGTGTTTGGGTCTCTGCCACTCATGTGGGAGACCAAGATGAATCTCATGGCTCCTGGCTTTGGCCTGACCCAGTGCTGGCTGTTGTGACTATCTGGGAAGTAGACCAGCCGATGGTACATTCTCTCTCTCTCTCTCTCTCTCTCTCATTCCCCACCACTCCTCTCCCTTACCCCCATCATGCTTTCATGTAAAATAAATGAATCTTAAAGGTAATAAAGATAGCATTTCCTGTGCAGGTGATTTTAGGGCTGGGGAGTTTTTTTTTTTGTTTTTTTTTGTTTTTTATTTAATGACAGTTAAAAGTTGCTTTTTTGAGGGCACTTATTTTCTATTTCTTTTTTAAGAAAATAATTACTCTTTGGGTTTTAAAATTAACAAAATATTTCATCCATTAACTTGACAGGAAACTGTGTGACTTTAATCTGTAGAACATGGTATTTTGAAGTATATATAAATTGTGCAATGATTACATTCTAGTCATTTCTTCTTTACCAGGGTGAAGGGGATTTGAGTCTTCTAAAACCTGCTTCAATCTTTTTTGAAAGTTGAGTTTCCCCTTTTACCATTTTCACTATTCTTTCTACATTTTTTTGCATTTCACCTGTACGATAATTTAAGGAAATTTTTTCCCATTGTTATTAAGAACTCTTTTGTTTCTCTTGAAAAAAAAAGGAATGGTTCTATAATGATTAAGTAAAGTAACAGCTGGTTACATTGTGCCATGGAGGGTTGGCTTCTTTCCCATGAAGATTTATGCATTTGAAAGTTTGAATTAGAGGAGAAAGGGAGAGAGGAGGTGAGAGAGAGAGAGAGAGAGAGAGAGAGAGAGAGAGAGAGAAAGAGAGCTAGAGTGAGAGCGAGAGCGAGAGCAAGAGAGTTATTTTGCATGTGCAGGTTCAAGTGCCTGCAACAGCAATCAAGGCTGGAATAGGCTGAAGCCCGGAGCCAGGATATTTATCCAGGTCTCACACATTGGTGACAGGAGCTCAAGCACTAGACCCATAACCTGCTGCTTTCCAGGATGCATTAGCAGGAAGCTAGATCAGAGGCAGAGCAGCCAGCACTTGAACTGGCAGCCGGATGTGGGATGCTGCCCTCAAAACCTGTGCTTCAACCTGTTGCACTGTAACACCAGCCCCAGGTGTGGGTTTCCTATCTTTCCCCTGTTGGGTGCCATTCACAGCTGGTGTGAGATCTTCTGGCTGCACTGTCTGTGCATTCTCCATTGGGCAGGAGGAATGTGTCTTCTTCAAAGGCCAGAGTCACAGATGCGGATGGTTCCATGAAGAGAATCAAACAGAACCCATCCTACAGCTCTCTGGTGTGCAGTAAGCTGCTTTTGGTGGGTGGTTCCCATGTTTCTCTACATACCAAGTGGCCCATATTAGATTGTGACTCGTGATGCTCAGAGAGCTCAGTGACTTCCTTAACGTCACACAACTCCTTGATGAGAAAACCTGTGAAACACTATTCATTTTTGCTTGCAAGTGTACTGCTCTTTCTAGTGTATTTTCTGCCCACTTCATTTTATTAGTTTGGTTTTAGTAAACATGAGCATGAGAAAATATTTCAACTTTGAATGTTGGTGGTGCTTTGCTCCTAGATGATGCATACATTTCTCTTAGGGTGGTTGTTGCCTTAGTTCTATTTAGGAAAACAACATACACTATTTTACCATTGTAGAAATCTCCAATCAATATATAGAAATTGGGAAAAGCAGCATTAAGTATTTTGCTGACTGTTTTGCTGATTTTAGGGGTTTTGGTTTCATCGAACCCTTGACTTCTAGTTTAACAAAGTACTCACAATCTATTTCCTGATCTCAGCATCATCGTGCTGTATTGTCACATAAGTTCTTTTTTTTTTTATTTGACAGGTAGAGTTATAGACAGTGAGAGAGAGAGAGACAGGTGCTTCTTCCTGGTCTCCCGTACGGGTAAGGAGCCCAAATACTTGGGCCATCCTCCACTGCCCTCCTGGGCCACAGCAGAGAGCTGGACTGGAAGAGGAGCAAGTAAGAATAGAACCCGGCACCCATATAGGATGCTGGTGCTGCAGGTGGAGGATTAAACAAGTGAGCCATGGTGCCGGCCCCATCACATAAGTTCTAAGGAAAGGAATTTTTTTATCCTTGCTTAGTGTTCCTTTTGAAAAAATTGCTTTTCTTAATGAAAGAAAAAATTATCAATCAATAAATAAATAATCTCTGAGCTATTTGGAAGCTTCTGTAGAAGTTCAGTTGTGCATTGCCTCTGTTACCTAATTTATTACTACTTGAGTCAGCCCAAATGTTGTGTTAATCATGGGCACTATTCTTTCTTTTGATGAGCCTCCAAATACAAATAAAAATATGTCCATGAAGAACAATATGTTTCTTTAAAATGTATGACATTCTATCATAAGTTTTGGAAGAAATAATCGGAAATAAGCATATAGAGACAGGTCATAAAAGTTGAAGGTGGCTGATAAGTTTTAACAGAGATGAGCTAGCTGATAGCAACTTGGAGCTTGTAAACTCCATGCAAGTATTCTTTTGGAAAGGCAGGTGTGCCAGAGGAACAAAGTCAGGAGTGTTACACCCCCCATAGAAAACCTTTTGAAGTTTTTTAAGTGAAGTGATTAGAGTGTGCCTGTGTTCTAGAAAGGGAGTGGTTTTTTGTTTTGTTTTGTTTTGCTTTGTTTTTTGTTTGTTTCTTGTTGTTGTTGTTATTGTTGTTTTTGACAGGCAGAGTGGACAGTGAGAGAGAGAGAGACAGAGAGAAAGGTCTTCCTTTATCCATTGGTTCACCCCCAAGTGGCCGCTGCGGCCCGCACTCTGTGTCCAGCACACCATGCTGATCTGAAGCCAGGAGCCAGGTTCCTTGTTCTTGGTCTTGCCAGGGGGGGTGCAGGGCCCGAAGACCTGGGCCATCCTCCACTGCCCTCCCGGGCCACAGCAGAGAGCTGGACTGGAAGAGGAGCAACTGGGACAGAATCCGGCGCCCCTACCAGGACCAGAACCAGGGTGCTGGCGCCACAGATGGAGGATTAGCCTATTGAGCCGCGGCGCCGGCCAGGGAGTGTTTTTAAGTTGGTGAGAAAGCTTGGTTTTTCTCTGTTAGAACCAGGAAGAAAGTTTGCTGAATACATGCTGAATCCATTTAGCACAATTTTTCTCTACTCAAGCTCCTGTTATTTTCAGGATTAATTTGAATGAGAGTGTTCAGAATCTACTCTGCCTAAGGCTGATGACAGCTAGAAGTAAAGGAAATTTGAGTTGTACATCTGTGTCTTTCCTAAAACTCCTGCCTTCATGAACCTTCCACTACCCTTTACATTGCACCCCTGCTTGCATTGTCAGGGCACACACACACAAGTCGTTGTCTTCCATCTTGTAATATATGCTCAATGTCTAACATCATTCGCATGGTATAGGACACTTTAAGATTTTGACAATGTATTTAGATTGTATTCAATGGTTTCAGGCTGGGCTCAACAGAAAGCTCTGCTGAATCTAGTGGAAACCACAATTATTGCTTCAATCATATCTTTGTTTATGTAAGAACACACACACACACATTTGCACCACAGTCTATGTACGGCAATGTACTATATGTCACAAGAATAATCAGACACAGTAACAGAAAGATACAAGTGGACCATCATACTGAAATTTGAGGCATCTTCTAAATTTCCATGCAAAACTCTTATTATCAAAAGACTATATGAATGTCAGAAGTGTTTTGAACCCAAATAGTCATCTTTTATTTCTATTTTCCATGAGATTTTGAAAAATCTTTGTAGAGTTACATCGTATGTATGATATTCCTATATTCTAAAATTAGTTTTAGATGGTTAGTGTTACTCTGGAAAACTGATTCTGGTGGCATAATGACCATGTTGCATACTGATATGATATTTTTCCGTCAGTCTGACAGATAACTTTTCTCTGTGGCGTCATTAATTCAACAGAATACTAGATGATGTAAATTACATGCAGTGGTCCTGTGGTCTCAAACACCTTTAAATTCAGTGTAGTAAGCTTTTACTTTCTGAGTGCAGAGTCTGCCCTCTTCCTAAGTGAAGGGAGGCTGGAATGTTCCCTGTACTGTGTAAGTCTCTTGCTGACGTAAGTTGGGTTAATAGACTTCAAATATCAGTACACGGGCAGATGTTGCACTTGCTGTTAGGAGGAGTATTGGCAAAGTTTCCTCTGCAATGTCCCATCTGTCATTCTGTGTGCTCCTCAGAGAAGGACTTGGAGGGTGCAAGATGGAATCCTAGTTACCTTTACATAGATGATGAGCCCGATGCTCAGAGATGTTCCTGACTTGTTCCAAATCAGTTTGTGAGTGGTGGAGATGAGTCTGGGAATTGTAATTTTTATTCTAAATTTGCAAGGGTTTATTACCATTATAATGATGATAACTTACTAACTTTTAGAAATTAGAGAGCAATGAGTAAAAAAGCTTCAAAAACAAATAAAGGCAAAAATGCTCAGATAATCAAGTGTCCAGAAAGTATCTGGCACATTTCATATTCACTCCCTGTTGTTTAATTCAAAATATGTGGGTTTATCCTACATTTATATTTGTCTATACATAAAATGAAACCACATGTGGTGGCTTGCTGTAACCATTCTTGTATTCAGGTGTTTATTAAGTTCCAGGGTCAGCAACAAGTCTCACATTCCATAACTTATTGAGCTTTGCAACACGTATTTGATAGATACCACTAATGAATGTCTCAGGGTGGCAGAGATTGCTGCTGCTCACCCTCCAAGACACACATTTCCAGTCTTTCCTGCAGTGCAATGTGGCCTGTGACTAGGTTCTACATGACAAACACCATTTC